TATAGTGGAGTGATTAAAATCAAAGAATACATATTTTTATTGTGGTCTAATCAAAGTTGAGACATAAACTGTATTGCGAATCTGTGGGAAATTTTTGAAAACACTATTCACAGATGCTCTTCATCAAACCAGGCTTCACTTGAGCTATTTTTAACAGATAAATGGTCATCTATGTTCTAGTTTCCATTCATGTTATGATTAAATAGTACTTTTTGGTGGTCTGCCTCAAAAAACCCCAGTCTCTGGCTGTAACCTAACAAAATCTAAAAAAAACATTCAAAGAATGAACACTTTTGCACGATGCTGCGTTTTGATCCAAACTCATACACACCTCCCTTCACGCTGTTACAGAGGTTATCACTAAGAGTGTCCACAATGTCCAACAGGAAGGAGAAGTCAGCCACATTGTACATGTGGATTTCATCCGGATCGGAGGCAATGGATCTCAACTCATTCTCATCTGCATTCTTCACACCTAGAAATGACATGTTATTGCTATTTATTATTCGCTCTACACAGTTACGCTCGTAAAAGCTCACAAATATGAAGTGTGCTCACCAATGGCATACAGCTCAATGCTCTGCTCGCGCAGGTTCTGTGAGGGGATGACAACTTCATCCTGGGATTTTCCATCAGTAACCAAGACACCAATCTTTCGGGCACTAGGTCGCATCCCCACGCTCTCTTTGAAATTGTTCTGGAGGATGTAGTTAAGAGCCATTCCTGCAGATAAAACATTGCAATGATTTGATCACCACTTTAAACAGCTTGAAGAAACCCCAACAAATATGGGGTTGATCCGCATAGGTGGATCATATCTGTACAGCCAGCTCTAACTGAAGTACCTGTCATGGTGTTTCCTCCTTTGTAAGGCAGGTTATTCACAGCATTCAGGAGTGAGTCCCGTGTTGGATGAGCATTCAAGTGCCACTCAGTCTTTGGGTCACCACTGTACTGAGCAAGACCTGAAAATATGATGAACCTTTGTAAGACCAACTTGCTTCATAACGCGTTGCCTTTTAAATGAAATTGCTCGTTCTAATTACACCCACCAATCTGAATTTTATCGGGACCGATGTCAAAGACTCCCACCATGCGAGCAATGAAGGCCCGGATGGTCTTAAAGTTAAGCCGTCCGATACTCCAGGAACCGTCCACCAGCAGCACAATGTCGGCCTTTGCAGTGGTTTTACACATTTTGTCTGACATTTCATGATGAAACAATGATAGAAATTTAAAAGGAGGTACAATGAAGCTGTGATGCATACAAAATTGTGTCTCTGATAGAAATTAATAATGAGAGAGGCATTGGAGAAAATATAAGATGTAAAGAAGGAATGAAAAAGATAAAAGAGGGAAAATGTATGCTAAGCATTTCAACAAATGACAATGGAAACATCACAAAACATTCTTAGTGCATTTTTCTTCCTTTTTCCCAGTATTTTTTTATGCCAGAGGTTCCAGGAGGTACAATTATTATCATTCCAGCAGTACGTTGTTAGGGAAATGTTTTTCACAGTTGTGCTTTTCGACATCCACGAGTGCGTCCCACGGGAGGATTGTGTTGTTAATGGCCTCTGACATATCAAAGGCCTCTGAAGGAGAGAGTAATGTGCTTCTCTGGAGAATCACCGTAATATTTACATCCTGTTTTTAACACCTGCATGATGAAAACCAAGGCATCTGATCCACTGTGCCAAGAGGAAGAATGCAGATGTGCAGAGGAAATAGTCAGATGCTACACTAAGTGCCACTTACTGCAACTGAAAACAGGTTACATTATGTTTGATGTACTGTCCTGTTTGTGCACACGCTAAACTCTGCAATCTGTAAAGATGCACAATGAGTATGATAACTGGATACTTCTGAAAAACTGATCAAATAAATAATTATTACTATTTCTATTTCATTTTGTTTGATGTAAAAAAAAA